CGGGGCTCCGAGAGGACGCGGGCAGCCCCGGTGCCCGTCGTGGTGAGCAGCGCCGACGCGGACGCGGCCCGCCCGCTGCGGGGGCTGCTCAAGTCTCCGCGCGGGGCCGACGAGCCCGAGGACAGCGAGCTGGAGAGGAAGCGCAAGATGGTCTCCTTCCACGGGGACGTGACCGTCTACCTCTTCGACCAGGTGGGTGTGGCAGGCGCGGGGCGACCACGGGGAGGCGACGCCCAGGGGTCCCGGTGGAACAGAACGGTTCCCGGGACTGGGAAGCAAGCGTGTGTCCCCCCGTGGGCGGGCCTGTGGGCCACGCCTCCTGTGGGCGGGGAATAAAGAGGCCCCGCCCCGGCGGGGGTTAAGGGAGCTTTCCCGAGGTGGGGGCGGAACCTGGGTGGAGGCCACGCCCTAAAGGGCGGGGTCCGAAGGGAAGCTCACCCCAGAATGGGGCGGGACCTGGAGGCAGGCCACTCTTCGAATGGGAAGGGGCCTGGAGGGAAGCTTAGCCTAGGAAGACAGGATGAGACCCCGGGAAGAGCCCAGAGCCTGGAGCAAGAGTGCCTCCTGGAGCGCTGGCGGGGCCTGTGCGGTGGTGGGGGTCCGCAGAGAGGAGAGGCCTGCAGCGTGTGGGCGGATCTGAAAGGGAGGTAGTGGTAAGGTAGCGGAGCCTGGAGAGCCTAGGGAAAAAGGTATGGCCTCATCCTGGGGCGGAGCCTAGTGCGATTTAGGGCGGAGTTTGTCGGGTCGGACCCCTAATGGCCTTAGGGGCTGTTGGAGTGAATCTTACCCAAGAAGGGTTTAAGCACAATGGCAGGTAGTGCTAAGAAATTTAACCACTCGGGAGGCTGAGACGGAAAGGTCGCTTGTGTCCAGGAATTCAAGGCCAGGCTGGGCACTACAGCGAGATCCCGGCTCAGAAAACGAAAACTAAAACAAACTTCGGGGCTGGGGGATCAGGAATAGGTGGAACTAATGACGGGCTGAGGGCTGAGTTAAGTGTAACTGGAAGCCAGTCATGGTGGTGCACGCCTGTAATCCCAGCAAGGGGAGGCTGAGGCAGGAGGATCCCAAATTCGAGCCTACCCTGGGCAATTTAGCGAGACACAGGCTCAGGAGGAGCTGGGGGATAGTGTTGAAGAGAAAAAAGGAGGGCGAGATGGTGCTTATGGACTAGTGCTGTCTAGATGATCCTGGCGGGGGATACTACGGTGAAGAACTGGGTCTCTGGCTGGGGCCAGGGCCACTGAGGGCGGGGCCCCTCTGAAGGCGGGGTGTGCGGAGGCTGGGGAGGGATCTGGAGGGCCATGCAGCAGGTGGCCCAGATCCAGAGGCCGCCAGCTCTGAGGGGGATGGGCAGGGCCAGCAGCCAGGTGAGGAGCGGGCCGGGGGAGGCGAAAGCGGCCGGGGTCTGGAGGGCGCGTGCCGGGCTGCGGCCTCCTCTCCGCGGTTGCCCCTCGGATGCCAAGGGCCCAGGGGCGCCCGCGGGACGGGCGCTAGCGGGGGAGGCGGGGCGCGGGATGTGAGGGTTCGTGCCCTCGCGAGTCCCTTCATCTGCCTCCGCAGGAGACACCAACCAACGAGCTGAGCGTCCAGGGCCCCCCCGAGGGGGACACGGACCCGTCAACGCCCCCAGCGCCCCCGACGCCTCCCCACCCCGCCACCCCCGGAGATGGGTTTCCCAGCAACGACAGCGGCTTTGGTGAGGGGCGGGGCGTCCGCCCGGGCAGGGGCGGGGCCCAGGTGGGCGTGGTCTCTGGGCAGCGGTGGGGGGGGCTCGGCCTCCGGGTGGGCGGGGCCGAAGCCCGCCTTGACCCAGTCTGAAGGTCCGGCTCTCCTCTCCCGCAGGAGGCAGTTTCGAGTGGGCGGAGGATTTCCCCCTCCTCCCCCCGCCAGGGCCCCCCCTGTGCTTCTCCCGCTTCTCCGTCTCGCCTGCGCTGGAGACCCCGGGGCCCCCCGCCCGGGCCCCCGACGCCCGGCCCGCAGGTACGGTGGCGCCTCGCTTCCGATCCACGTCCCCGTGTGTCATCCTCGCCCGCGCCCCTCCCAGAATTTCCCTGCCTCTTGCTTCTCAGCCTCCCCGCCACACCGGCGCCCGAGTCACCACCCACCCCTGTCCAAGTGGGCCCGCCAGACGCCCCCTCCCCAGCCTCAGTTTCCCCTCCTGTAAGGATCATGCACACACTCGTGCCCATCTCTGCCCCATTTCTGGGCTCGAGCCTGGCAGATTCGTTGGTGGGGGCACGGGGATCTGGCAAATTAGAGAGAACACAGCCACCACGGAGTCCCCCGACGTGCCGCAGGGCAGCGGCGGTGTGCTGGCCACACTCGGGCCGCCTGAACCTCGCGATGAGCTCAGGGGGGCCCCATTTTACCAGAGGGAAAACAGGCCTAGAGAGGAGCGAGGAGCCGGGGTCCGGGCCGCTTGGCTGCCCGGGGCCCCTGCAGGCCCGTAGTCTCCCCGCCACTCCCCTTGCCTCCCGCGCTGCGTGTGGTGCTAATCCCCGGGCCACCTTGGCAGAGCCGGGGCCGCCTTAGGGCTGACTGCGGGTCCACCGCCCCTGGAGGCCTGGCGGGCTGGACTGGGCTCTCTGCTGCCCTCTGCTGTCCTCGCGGAGGACACCTGGGCACACAGGGTCCCCGGAGAAGGGCTGGGCAGGTAGAAGTGCAACTGTGCCTTAGCATGGAGAATTCCATTTCTGCTCCCCCAGATGTCGCCTGAGTCCAGGTATTGACCGCCCATTTGTGTGTGACCTGGGGCAAGTCACCTTCCCTCCTGTGCTTTAGTTTCATCGCCGGTAGATCGGGGGTAGCGTAACCCTCCCGTGTGTGCAGCACGGGGCCTGGCCATGTACTTCGGGCCTCTGGCCATTAGCTGCCATTGCGCTTCATTGGGTGGGTGTTTGTTTAGTGACCCGGAGCGCGGGGCCCTGCCTGCCTCTGCCTCCACGGACCACAGAGCGTCACCGTATGAGAACACAGACGCAGGGTTGCCGGGAGAGCCGATGACAAGAGGAAAGGCCTCGGTCTTCCCAGTGGCAATGTCACCTGGCCAGGCACTTGAAGGCTGGTTGTCATTAACCGGGGGAAGGGGACGGCGCGCTGGCAGAGAACGGCTTGCACAAAGGCGCAGAGGGGAACCGAGGCCGGGGTGGCCGCAGGGGAGGGGCTGGGCTTCGTCCTGGGCACTAGGGACCCATGGGGGACTGTATGCAGGGGAGGGGCCTGGCACCACACAGGGCTGAGGAGGGGAGAGAGTGGAAACTGGGTGGCTGGGGAGAGGCTGGGACAGGGAGGAGGGACAGGGCTGGGGCTGACTCTTGGCTGCGTCCCCAGACTCGCCCCAAATGTCACTGCTCCCTGACACCCCAGCAGGGCCCCCGTGAAAGCAGGGTGGGGTGGGTCCAGGACGTGGGATAAATGGTGAGTCAGGGCTGAGGCTGGCAGGGCCGGCCTGCGGGGATGACCTTGGCTTTAGTCACCGGGAGCCGAGACCGAGGGCCTGGTCGTGCGAAACCCCAAATCCCTCCACTGGGCCGGCAGGTACTGGGAAGCCGCCGAGCCCACGTGTGTGCCAGGCCGCGGCAGGCAGCTGCTGTGCCCAGCCGAGCCAGGACGCCGCGTGTCCCGGCGTCTCCCCACTCCTCTGGGGCAGGGGCTGAGGGCCGCAGCCCTCGCTGAGCTCCCTTACACCGGAGGAGCAGGCAGGCGGGGAGCACGTCCGCGAGTGGGGCGCCCCAGAGTGACAGGCGCTCAGCGGGAAGTGCGCGACAGCCCCGGGGGCCGGGGGGCCTGTGTGACTGCGGGTGACCGGGAAGTCTCTGCCAAGGGCACAGCAGGCAGTGGGCGCGGTGCGGCCAGGGCGCTGAGGCAGGCTGTGGCCGGAGCGGAGGGGCGCCAGGCCGGAGGGACGGAAGGCCGAAGGCGGGGTGCCCGCGGGGCCCTGCGGGCCGCAGCTTAACTTTCACTCGGAGCCACCGGAAGCCGGTATCCTGTGCCCGGGTAACCCGGCTTTCTCCATTCTCTCCCTCCCCAGGCCCCGTGGAGAACTGATTCCCCAAAGACCCGACCCCCCTGCACCCCCAGAAGAGGGGCTGAGAGTAGAATCCTCTGTGGACGACAGAGCCACTGCCACCACTGCAGACGCCACCGCCTCCGGGGAGGCTCCCGAGGCTGGGCCCTCCCCCTCCCCCACCACGTGCCAAACGGGAGGCCCCGGCCCCCCGCCCCCCAGCCCCCCGGACGGCTCCCCAGACCCCCCAGACCCCCTCGGTGCCAAATGAGGCAGGAAGCCCCTCGCCCCTCGCTGGAGAGCCGCCTTTCTCAGAACTGAACTGAACTCTTTGGGCCTGGAGCCCTGGGCACAGCGGAGGCCCCTCCTCACCCATCCCGCCCCGCGCACGCGCGTGCGCGCAGGAGCTGCAGGCTTCGGGGACCTGGACCCCATCTCCGCCTCCCCTGCCCTCCCCAGCCCAGCCCCTGGAGGGGCCTCTGGTTCAACCTTCGCGTGGCATTTTCACATTATTTAAAAAAGACAAAAACAACTTTTTGGAGGAACCTGGAGCCTGTGTGTGTTTCGGGCGGACACAGGGAGAAGACACTGTCCAAGAGGCTCCTCAGGCCGTGCTGGGGGAGCCTCTCCTGGTCCTGGTCCCTGCTCTGGGTCCGGAGTTCAAGACTCCCAGCTTCTGCCAGCACTAGGGAGGCTGAGGCGGGAGAATTGCCAAGAGTTTGGGGCCAGCCTGGGCTACATGGTGAGACCCTGTCTCAAAAAAACAAGACTCCCAACTTCAGCACCAGCCTCAACTGACCAGGAGGCCATGAGGAGCGGTGAGGGTGGGCAAGTTGGGCAGCTGTGGTGGGAGCCATGTGTCCACAGGTGGCTACAGGCTGTCCCAGGACCGAGGCCGGGTGATACGGATCAGAAATGACCTGCTGATGCCCATATTGGACCATGACAGTGTCCCACACACCTCAGACTGCCACTGCCTGTCCTCGGTCAAGGTTGACATCCCTGCTGTGGGTGCACTGCCTCAGTTTACCCACTTTTCCATGTGACTCCTGCTTGACATTCTCATCTCTTGATTTCAGCCTAACCTCATCTTTGCAGATTCCTTGTGTTCTGCCATGTACTCCTGACCTGCTCTGCCTGGTTTTGGTCTCCATCCCTGGTGTTTGCTGTCCATCTGGGGCTTCTTTCTTCCTTTCTGTCTTTCTGCCTTGAGGTTGCTGGGTCTGTCCCCTTGTTTCGGCCTGTACCTCTCTTTCCCTGTACTGGCACCTACAAATCTTTAGGGCCTGGCTGTCCCGTCACCTGGGACGAGATTCACTGGCACATTAGAGATAGTTGGATGGCAGAGGAGGAAGGGGCAAGGAGGGGCCCTCTGAGACGCTTAAGTTTAGGACTTAAGGTGCTGAGGGCATTATGGTCACGAGTCTCCGGCAACTGGGAGAAGGAGAGGAGGGTTCCGTCTCTTCAGTCATAGTCACTGCCAGTGCACTTGGTGGCACTTGATATAATCTTGAGTAACCCTGCCCCGGGAATGCAGGAAGTGAGCTGGGGTAGCTCAGGGTCCTGGACCCGGGATCTGAGGGAGAAGGCTGGGCCTGGGCCCCTGGTTGCGGGGGTATGGGGGTGTGGGGGTGTCTGAGGGAGGATGTTCACATTACTTCACTGGAGCTAATGTATAACAAAGCACCTGAAGTCCAGTGTCTTAAAGCACAGAAATGCATTATCTCAGCTCTGGAGGTCTGAGGTTCAGGATGAACACCAGCAAGGTGGTTTCGCTCCACGGACTATAAGGGCAAGTCTGCTCCCTGCTTTTCCAACCCTGGCTTTGCTGGTGATCCGCGGTGGTCCGGGACTTCAGACACTTCACCCATGTCTGCCTTCGTCTCCAGGTGGCCCCCGTTGGTGCGACCGTTGGTCAGACTTTGTCCGTTTTGTGAGGATAGCAGTCTGTAATGGATTAGGACCCACACTAATGACTTCATGTCAGGCCGAGCGTGGTAGCCCACACCTGTAACCCCAGCCCTCGGGAGGCTGAAGCAGGAGGATCCTTGTAAGTTCAAGACCAGCCTGGGTTACAAAGTGAGCTCAAGGCCAGCCTGAGCTGCATATTGAGACCCTGTCTCAAAAACACAAAAACTACTACTACTGACTTCATGTCAACTGAGCATATTCGCAATAAGCTCACTTCCAAGTAAGATTGCATTCTGAGCTGAGGCTGGTGGTGTTCAACACAGGAACCCGAAGACATAATTCGACCGGTAAAAGGAGGGCTGTGGCTTGGGGTCCAGGGGGAGGAGGGAGCTGGAGCCCGCTCCTCAGTCCTGGGGCGATGGGTCAAGCCCAAGTACTCCCTTCGGAACACTGCAGTCGGCGGAACTCCCTCTCTGGTGGCGGCGCCTGTTTCAAAGCCTCTAACCTGGGTCCAGTGCGGCCCCCGCCCCCCCGCGGCAGCCACGGGGTCCCTGGCCCCGCTCCTGGGGCTCGCGCAGCCCGCCGGGAGTTCCGGGCCGAGGCCCCGCGGGGTGGGACGCCCTTTGCACAAGGGCAGCAGTCGCCACGCTACTGGGGAGCCGAGACGAGCACTGAGGCTGACCTTTGGGGTGCTCCCCACCCACTCCGCAGAACTCAGCAATTAGCGGCTTCGTCGTGTCCAGACTCAACGCGGGGCTAAGACTCCCGGCAGGCTTTGGGGCGCCTGAGGCATGCCGGGAGCTGTAGTCTTCCTGGAGACCTACGCGGCTCCAAAGGCGAAATCTACTAAGCAGTCAACCCACACGCCTCGGAACTCACCAGCCCGTCTTCGAGGACACCACAGAAACCCCAAACTCTCGGGCCCAGGGCTGTCCTACTCAAAGAGCTCATCTTCAAAGTGGTGGGGCTCACATTCCAGACAGTCACATTCCCAAGAACAACACTGGAAAGGCTGCCCCTTGGCATAAGCCCCACAGGCGGCTTGAAGTGGTGGTGAAGCCTAGCTCCAAGGTACTGGCCCGCAGTGCCGTCCCCGCCCCGCGAACGAGGCGTCCTCTGTGTCCCAGGGACACCCCCGCAGCACAACCCGCCGACCTGGGGCCCCTTCCCCAAGGCCCCACCCCACGTCTAGCCACGCCCTTCCTTTGGTGCTCTCCGCCCTGGTCCCCACTGCTTCAGGGTGCACCAAGAGCGAACGCCGGAACCCGCCTTCCCAACACCGTCCTCTGGACCCGGCAGCTCTGCAGACAACTCCTGCCCGTTAAGCTCCAGGTGTGACCCATACGGGACAGCACCTGCTCTGGAGCCGCGGGCTGCCCAGGGGCTGTGACTGGCCCAGCTTCCGACCCTTGCCAAATGCTAAGAGCTGAGTGCCTCAGTTCTGCCAACCCCAAGAAACAAGGGGGTCTGTCGGCTTGAATGGTTAAATAATTAATAAGATTACCAACAGCATGTTAATTACAAATGAGGAGGAGCTGGAGGGAGGTGGTGAATTTCCAAATGGAGGACTAGGATCCACAGCCCCAGGGCCCAGGGGTCCGGCCACCCGGGCGGGGCAGCTCCATAATAAATAGAACGGGGGCAGGGGTCAGGGCTGCTCCTGCTTCTTCTTGACAGAAATCCTCTTCTTCCTCGCGGCCAGCATCTCATAGAAGGGGTCCACGCTCACAGCAGCCCTGCAGAGGAGAGAGCTCAGAAGAGGGCCAAGGGCCCGGGCCCAGCCTCCGCCCTCCGAGCCAGGGGTCCAGGCCCAGCCGCCTCCCTGCGACCCGGGGATAGGAGGAGCCTGGGCTCACTGAATGGACTTGATCCACTCGTCCTTCTCCTCCTGTGTGGGGGCTGAGATCCGGTACACCATGTGGTTCCCCTCCACCACCCGTCCGTCTGCCTCCGTTTTGCAGGCTTTGATGAGCTGCCCCTTGTTGTTGGGGATGTAAAGCTCAAAGCAGTTCTGAGGAGACAGGCAGAGAGACAGCAGGTTAAGAGCCAGCCCTGGGGCCAGACTGGGGCCCCTGTGGGCAGGACGAGGTACAAAGAGCGCCTTACTGGCTTCCGGGGGTCATCCACCTCTCGGATGCTCAGGTTTTCCAGCGGGATGATTCCTCGGGGCTCCTTGTCCTGAAGAAGCAAGGCGGACAGAACGTGGACGTCTAGGTCTTTTACCCCCGCCCCTCCGCCCTCAGAGCCGGCCCCGCCCGCCGCTCACCGTCGTGTACTCGAAGTAGTAGAGGCAGTTGTCAGTCAGGATGAACCAGCGCCGCTTCCACGTCTTCACCCGGCCCCCTGGAAGGGAAGGGGCGGGAGGGGCCTGGGCTCAGCGGGGGCGGGGCCTCGGGGAGGGGGAGGGGAGGCGAGCGGAGCAGGAGAGGCGGGGCCCGCAGGCCTAGGACAAAGGCAGCGCGAAGAGGTACAAGCAGGGACAGGCACGTTTGGGCCCGGGAACGAGTCCACCCCCAGCCTGGGGCTTGCGCTTTTGAGGCCCATCTGTCACTCGGGCCCACGAGGAGCCCTGCTGCGGGCCAAGGCCAGGGCGGCCCCCTGCCAGTGCGCAGCTCGGGGCAGGGCGAGGCCGCGTGCACCTACCTCCTGGGGCAGACAGCGAGAAAGCAGCAGGACCAGGTGCAGGAGAGGGAAGGCGGAAGGTGGGAGCCCCCAGAGCCGCGGCAGCGGAGACAGGGCGGGCGAGGGAGAATGCGCAGAGGCGGCACAGACAGACAGACAGACAGAGACACAGGCACGCAAAGAGGGAGGGAGGGAGGGAGGAAGGGTGGGAGGGAGAGAGAGGAAGAAAAACAGTTACAGCCACACGGGGCGGGAATGGCCGCAGCCTCTCCCTCCCGGGGAGGGCAAGGGGCCTGAGCCCCGTAGAGGCCATGAGCACCCCCTCGCCTCTGGCCTCAGCTGCAGCCCCCAGCACATGTCCTTGGCCAGGAGGCTCCTCTGTGGCCACAGGGAACATGTCCCTCCCCTAGGGGTGCACCTCAATTCTCGACTCCAACACAGAGGGGTTGTGTGACCCGAGGACACTCGCCCGCCCTCTCCAATCTGAGACCCATCTGGGCCCACCCCACCCTGCAGCAAGATGACCAACTTCTGGCTTCCCTGTGGGCCCAAAGGACAAGGACTGACATCTACCGGCCATCACAGGTTGCCTTTGAGCGTACCAAGGAAGTATGCCCTTTGTACAGGCCAAAGAGGGAACCACGTGCTTTGGCCAGAGACCCGTCCTGGGGCTGTGGGTGGGGGCTGCGCCTCAGTTTCCGCAGCTGGGAAAGCGGGGACAGCTCTGGGCACTGGCTCGTGGTGACACGGCCTTGCTGCCTCTCTGATGCTCACAAGTAGGGCAGCACTGGCGCTAGAAGCCACAACACCCCAGGCAGGCGCCCTGTTGTGGGGGTGCTGGCCAGTGTGTGGTGGGATCATGTAGGCACTGGGATGGAACCCGGGGCCTCATGCTGGGCTACAACCTGCAGGAATGAGGCTTGGCCCCCGGGGTTCTCAGAGGGCCCGGGTGACTGTCATGTACAGCCAATGCTGAGGACTCCATGCCTTGTGGTGACTGCTACCTTCTGTGCTGGCTGACCAGCAATGTGCCGGTGCCACAAGGGAGACGGCCCGCCGCCCCCCAGCCGGGGACTCGACTCATCACCACTGCCCCAGGCTGCTCCCTCGAGGCCAGCAGCCCACCTAGCCAGGTCCCCCCCCCACGGGACTCAGACAGCGGTCCTTGCTCACGCTGGCTCTCCTGCCTGCGACGGACATTTTGGAGACAGCAAGATGCTGGGACAGCCCCTGTGCTGGTCTACGGGACTGTCGACATGGCCAGATGGGGACTGCAGAGCCGGCTGCCCTGGCCCCTGGGCACCACCCCCTCGAGCTGCGTTTCTGTTAACCTCAGGGAAGACTGTACCAAGAGAACAGTGTCGCCCAGAGGCGCACTAAGCTACCTGCGGTGCTTTTGGTGCAGAGTTCAGGGCCTGGTACGTCAAGAGCTCCACAGCAGCCCCTGGGCTGGGGCCAGCACTCAGGCCCAAGCTTGCTGCGAGCCCCGTTTTTGGATGTGGAAACTGAGGTTCGGAGAGGTCGAATCCCTCTCCTCTGGTCGCACAGCAGGTACGTGCGAAGATAAGTCCTGAACCCAGCTTACTAGCGTCCCCTGCAGAAGCAGCCAGAGGGGTCAGGAGGGGACGTACCCAGCTTAAGGAGCCAGCCCTCCCGGTCCGGGTTGAAGAAGGTGTGGGTCAGGTCGTTCCCGTCGTCCTCGGGGATCTTGAAGGGCTCGTTCCGGATGCTGTCGTAGAGGTTCTGAGGAAGGAAGGCCGGGTCAGTGATCCAAGGCCCCGGGCCTCCCCAGGGGCAGTGAGGGGTGCTGAGATTGTGGGGGGGGGGGGCAGGCTGGGGATGGGCACAGCGGGTGGGGAGTGGAGGGCTTGCAGGAGAAGGAGGGAAGAGGACAGGCGAAGAGTTTGCCAAGTTCTCAGGGGCTGGACAGAGAATGGCACAGATCAAGACCCGGCAGAACCAGAGAAGAAAAAAAATAAAGACCGAGAACTGGACCCAGAGAGGGACGGAGACAAGAGAAAATACACATGCTGCTGGGCAGGGCAGGGCAGGGCAGGGCAGGGCAGGGCAGGGCAGGGCAGCTCAGCACTGGGGGCCCAGGGGCGCAGAGGGGCCAGGAGCATGGGCCTGACCCTGAGCAGCTCCTCAGGCAGGTCCCCGCCCTCGTTGATGCCCCGGTTCATGGCCACAAAACGCTCCAGGCCGGGCTTGTCCCTGACATTGGGGTTGTGAAGGCTGGTGTTCAGCATGATCACAGCGAAGGACAGCACGTAGCACGTGTCTGCACAGGACAGGACAGGACAGGACAGGGGTGACGGCCCCGAAGTGTGAGCCACAGGCCTCCTCCCTTGTCTGGGGGGATCCAGGCCCAGCCGCCTCCCTCAGGCCCCAGAGTCCAGGCCCCGCCTCCTTCACCTCAGGACCCAGGAGTTGGGCCCCCACCTGTGGACTGGAAAACCCCAGGGTTGCACAGACAGTATCGCTGAGCAAAGGCCTCCATCATCCGGTCAATCTTCTGGGCCTCTCCAGGGAGGCGAAAGCTCCACAGAAATTGCCTGGTTTGAGAAGGGACCAGGTGTGACGTCAGGGCCAGAAGCCCCTCCTCACACTTGGTCTCTCCACTAAGAACTGGCCATGAGGAAGCCCAACCTTCTGTGCTTAGCAGCTGCTTGAGGTGTGGACCCGTGACCCACCCTGATATTTAAGCACTACCCAGGGGACTCCTGGCAGATCTCTATGGAAACAGCCTCCTTTCCCCAAGGCTGCTTAACAGGTCTGGTGGTTGCCACAGGAGGGTGTCCAATACCAAGGTCAGCACAAGTATGAGACAGAGAAAGCTGACTTTCCGATTCCATGTAGGCACCTTGATCCAGTTATGCCTGAAAGAGGCCCTATCCGTGGACTTGCGTTATACCAGGCCATCAACACCTTAGTTTTGCATCTACTTTTGCTTGCATCTGTTCGTTTTGAGCAGTGATGATCCCTTCCAACTAAGCACACATTCCTGCCCTCCAGAGCCATCCCTCTTACCTGAGAGCCTGCACCAAATTGAGGTCAGTGAACTCATGCAGATCCACAAAAGCATGGAGCACTGCCAGGTTCAGCTCTTCCCTGGGAGGAGAGGGCAAGCAGTCACACAGGGGTCTGGGAGCAGCGGTGGGGGCGCTCCCCGCAGAAGGTAAAGCCTGCGGGAGCCTGTGGCAGGCCTGGCCCTGGGGTGGGACGCTGGGAGCTGGCTCTCGCCAGAGGTGTGCGCCTTGGGAGCCCTGCTTTGTCTGATCTTTGAACAGGGAACGAAGTGTGACAAAACATGCAGGTTACCTACTGCCACCTGTCTCAAACACTCCCCAGGCTCCGGATGTCCTGGCATGGTCCCCACGCCCCCTTGTGACCCCAGATGTCCACAGAGAGCCCCAGCTCCCCGATATCAGCCATAAGCCCCCAACGCCTAGATGTCCATGTGGCCCAGCTCCCTGCACCGCTGCCAGTCCCCGAACTTCCCAGCACCCACACGCAGGCCCCAGGCAGCCAGTTTCCCCACTGCCACCAGACATAAGCAGCGGCCCCCACCTCCGGGATACCCACTCGAGGTCCCACACCCACAGCGCTCTCGTCCATCCACTCCATCACAGGCCCGTCACGTGGGGCAGAGCATTCCCATCCTTGGGCTGTGAGGTGCAGCAGGGGCAGGGCAGGCTCTCACCTCTCTCCCAGGTAGTCCCCGATGGCGGTCTTGTTCAGCCCCTCACCCTTGTACAGGAAGCGGGCGATCTCCTCGGGCGTGTTCTGCAGCAGCTCATTGTCCACCAGAAACTGGATGCCCTGGTAGTGTGGAGGGCTCAGCATGGAGGCCAGGAAGTCCCCGCTCCCTCGCCTCCCCAGGAACCTTTACATCTAAACCCACGCGAGCCTCAATAGGGCCTCAACGTTTGAGGAATGACTGAACATACTGTAACTGCTACAGGCACGAACACAGAGAGAGGCTGTCAGCACCACACTCTGTCAGAGGTTAAAAAGGTGAAGCCCCAGGTGTGACTGGACCCCTCTCTGGCTCTGCCTGTGCAGTGCTGAGCTCGCCATCACAGCTGCAAGCCTCAGAACTGTGGTACCTATGTCTAGGGTCCCTCTGAGGAAGGTCTGATTCTTCTCTAGGCCCCCAGTATTGCCTAGCAGAGTCAGGCCTTTGGGAGGCCTCAACCAACTGGTGTGAACAAACTTATCTCCTCCACTGGGCCTGGTGTTGAAGATCTGTAACTCCTAGCACTTGGGAGACAGAGGCAGGAGGATCACTATGAGTGCGAGGCCAGCCTCAGCTACAAAGTGAGTTCGAGGCCAGCCTGAACGCCATATTATAGAAATGTTTTCCTCCACGTGAACACCTATTTCAAACTTGATCGAATGCCTCCTCCTCAGGTGAGCCCTTCTGGATCTTCTAGCTCCTGCCCCTGGATGGCCATAGCCCTGGAAATTCCCTCCAGAGGGGCACTGGTCTCCTACTCTCCCTATCATGTCATTTTGGCCATAACCCCTACCACACACGAGCTCCTCTTGAGACCCGGAGTACATCCAGAATAGGGGCAGAGGACCCTTCAGGCAGGGACAGAATACAAGCAAGAGCCAGGAGGCTGCAACACTCGGGCAGTGCTCTCAAGACAAGCCAGCAGCCAGGGATCAGGACCCCAGTCTGTGTGCCTAGAGGACAGCGGTACCTGTCACACTTCTGGCACTTTAAGGTGCCAGAACCCCACCTCCTGCCTGCTTGCCTGATCCCAGCCCTGTGGTCCCAAGTACCTTTTTGGGGTCCATGTTGAATTTCTTCCTGCCCATTGCCATCTTCCGGTTTCGCTGCAAAGTCTTACTGCAGGGGCAGAGATCAGGGCGGAGTGGGGGGCTTGAGGGTCAGTGCCTGAACACCCCTGGCCCTGGCCACATCGCAGTCCCCCAAGTTCGCGGCCCCAGCCTCACCTGCCCTCATTGGCCTCCAGACCCTCCACCTCACTCATGGCTTCGCTGAGCTCCTCCCGGAGGCGCTGGATCTCCACCAGCAGCTCCTGCTTCCGCCGGCGGATGTTCTCCAGCTCCATGCGCTCCTCCGGGGTCAGGTCCGGGGGTTCTGAGAATCGGGGTTTAGAAGTCAGCTCTCGGAGCTAGAAGCTGAGACCGCTGCCACCCTGCAGAAGGTGAGGCTCGGGAGACGGGAGCGCGGGGCCGCTTCCTCACCCCGGGGAGGAGTCGCGGCTGCGCGGGGGGGGGCCTGGCGCCCGGAGACGGGGCGCCCCTGAGCTCTGGGGTCACGGAGGAGAAAAGTGCGGGCGGCGGGCGGCCGCGGTCAGCTCGTCGGGGCCGGAGGGGCCGAG